CAGAAGCACAAGGCACACAAAAACGTAGTTGTGTATTCATTAATACATCCTTCCAAAGCTGAAGTCTTTCAAAAATATTTTATTGTGTTGAAGATTCCATCAAGTGTTTACAACATTTCTGGTATGATAGCATCAACATGTTATTTCTTGTCAATAAATTTGCATTTGCATAGTTGAACTTTCTGGACTCATTGAACATCATAAATCCTATCCTAAGGTTTTGGTCATTTCTTGGTGCGACCCTGCGGTAGATTTCAGATAGTGGAGTAGCTTCTCCGTTGTGGCTAGTTGAGCAATATGCAAGGGTGGAACCAAAGCTGAAGTCTAATCTGCTTATATTTTGCTTACACCCCAGAAACAACCTTTCCGTTTTCATGATATACCTTTTTTGGGAACCTAGTGGTGTCATCACTGGGTCTCCTGGCTTCTCTTTGTAATGCAGCTGGGTCATGGCTGGTGGGAGGAGCCAGCAGGGTGCTGTATATAGCTTCCTGAAAACATCACAGCACCCGGCCTCAGTACTCCACACAAGAGCCGTTAACCCTGATGCAAGCAGTGGGCTGGTGCTTTATGGCTCTATCCGGTGTCATCCCTAGCCTTTATGCCGCTTGAAGTGGCCAGGGGGGAGGTGGTGGTTGAGTGATGCCGCCCTACCTGCCCAGCTCAGTGTCCTGCCGTCCTCTTGGCAACCAATGACATCACTGGCTGCGAGGAGCTGGGCCAGATGCTGGCCAGAGCTTCCCAGGTTGCTAAGAGCTGGTTGCGGAGATGTGCGTGGCCCTTGCATATCTTCCCGCTGGCTCTTAGCAACCTGGGACGCTCTGGACAGAAAGGGAGCAACACTGAAAACATTGTGCAGCAGAGGGGCCATGCCATTCTGCCTGACACCACCCACGTGACTCAAAGAGATGCCGCCTGAGGCGACAGCCTCAGACTGCTTTATTATAGGGATGGCCCAGGTTCCACCCTCAGGCACCTAAGTCAATACTTTACTAAAGCTTGACTATTTACCATTTCGAACACATATCAATCAATCTGCTGGTAAGTTGTGTTAATTCTTAGAGTGACACTAAGCTTAGGAGTTAAATCTTAAAAACAGATGCAAGTACCTGAACTATGAACTAACTAGGAATGCACTGATACTGTTTTTTCGGTATCGAGTACCGATACTTTGCTTTTGGTACTCGCCAATACTGAGTACCGATACCGGTGCTTCCCCTAGCATGGAGCAGGCTTCTCAGTCAATCAGGAAGCCATGGGGTGGGTAATGACATACCACCCGGCTTCCTGGTTGCCTGGGAAGCCTGCTCCATGTTGATTGGGCGGCTTGATTGTGATTGGCTGGGAAACCGGCTTCCCAGCCAATCAGCATCAAGCCGACTTCCCGGCCAATCAGGAAGCCGGGTCATTCCTCGCCGCCCAGCTTCCTGGGAAGCTGGCTCCATGTTCCCCTACTGCACTGCTGGTCAGAGGAAATCTTCCTCTGACCGGAAGTTCAGGTATCGGGGAAGGTATCGGAGGTACTCGCCCAAATACTCGGTATCGGCACTGATACCAATACTGGTATCGATATCAGTACATCTCTACTATGAACAAAGATATATCTTATTTGTGTAGATTCTCCAATCATCTCTGAATTGGTGCTGACACTGTCCTTCCTTCTGGAGGGGGACTACTTTTGTTCCCCATGGTCCCTGTGTTTGTTGTAAAGTAGTCACCACTCCAATCTCACTCCCGGGATGGACTACAACCTCAAAATAAAGTAGTAAACTAAACATGAGATTGTAGTCCATCTCAGGAGTGAGCTTGGAGTGGTGACTACTTTACAACACACACAGGGACCATGGGGAACAAAAGTAGTCCCCCTCCAGAAGGAAGGACAGTGTCAGCACCAATTCAGAGATGATTGGAGGATCTACAGCCGAGTGATACACAAATAAGATACATTGTTGTTCAGAGTTAAGATACTTGAATGTGCTTTTTAAGATTTAACCCCTGAGTTTAGTGTCACTTTAAGACATTTAAAGTTATTCGAGGAAGTGGTCATAGGGAGCAAAGCTGAGCATGAGAGGCCAAAGGCTGCAGATAGCAATGACAAACAGGTCTACAGAGTGTAATTCATCTTATATCTTGTTACAGCTTCATCTACTTAACAATATAAAGATCAGAACGCCGTCGTTTGCAATGTCAGAAATAAAATATAGCAAAAGCAGGATTTCACCTTTAACACTCCTACGTGGCCAGCACATGATGTCATTGCTAACCACAGCTCCACTTATAAAATATCCGAGCTCAGAGAAGAATAAATGAAAGATTAGCACACGCTGTTAAGGGTTTCCATAATTCCTGGAAATACTGGGAAATACAGTACATTGTAACGGTTCCCCTGGGCTCGGGTGGATGAATCCCCGCACAATATAAAAACCATGCAGCAAACATCAACACCGATTCCACGCCGTGGATCGAGTTCCCTTCTAATAGACGCCTGATGATTGTATATTTATGTCTTATCTGCATTGTTCAGGGGAAGCAGAGAGGAAAAAAAGAATCTCTGTTGCAGATTGCCACCAACACGGATGATTGCACATCCCTCAGACAAGTATGTGTAAAATTACTATTATGTTTTTTCCTGTATTTATTTCTAAGACGCTTACTGCCCTATAAAGAAAAAATCCACATTCTAGAGACCTGATCTGCAATATTCTCCCTTCTACACGGGCGCCAACCTGACCTCCTGACTACCCTGCCGCGCTGACATCCAATTCTTGGGTCACACAACCTTCTACATTAAGAGGTTGTATAAATCTTCAACCCACCGTAAAGCGGCTCCACCACTATATGTCGCTGAAGAGCCTAGCAAATTCCTATGCTCCCTAGCACCATCTAGTGGCGGTATTTTTGTGTGAGCGGCATTCGCCCAGCTTTACGCTGGGTGGAAGGTTTATACATCAGCTCCTTGGTGAAGATGGTATAATGGCCCAAGCATTGGACTCAACCCGGCAGAGTTGTCAGGAGGTCAGGTCGGCGCCTGTGTAGAGAGGAGATGCTTGAGAAATATTTATTCAAAAGGTGGATATTTATTGGTTCTAAAATCTGCATAAAACACCATCAATGTGTTTTTTAAACGTGTTGATGGTGTTCTATGAGCATTTTAACACTAGTCATGAGTGAAATGGCCTGGATTCGGTTCACTAGGACATTCGCTGAACCCACCCAGAAGAAATCCGGGTTCTGCCAAACGCCAAGAGAACCAAACCCAGGGCCGTCTGTGTCCAAGCAACCAACGACATTGTTGGCCATTGGTTGCTCTAGGCTTAGAGTCTATGCCTAGTGCATAGACTCTAAACTTCCTCAGGGCAGACAGGGCTATCTATAGATGCTGCCATAAGATAAGACTCCTTTGTACAAGCCCCACCCCTTATATCAAGCAACTGTTATAGTAAAAGCAAAATATAGAATGTATTAATAAAGAAAGCATGATGTCTGCTGTACATAAACTGCTATGTGTTAAATTCACAGACTGCCAAATGAGAAAAAAGAGATTGCTTCGTGCTTCTTAAACTATGGAGAGTCTTAGTACTCTACTCATTGTACCCTGCACACATGAGGACTCTTCTAATTGTACCTTGCACAGAATGCCCCCAACCCCTTTCCACTCAGAGATCATGCGCTAAACTTAGCCACAAATCTCCAGTGTGATCATATAAGCAAAGAAAATCCCATCTAGTCCATTCTGAGACTCAGTGCTGCCCCTCTGAGCATGCTGTCCTATGCGCTGGACCACGAGTCCACTGGTATAGTACATACAGCCCCGGGGAAATTAATGTCTCAATGTCATATAAATAGCGTTATAAAGATGAACCAACCAAAATAAAATTCACCTTTTGGTACAATTCCTCTCAGGGGCCTATCACACACCTCACCATGAAGCGGTTAAGCCGAGCTGAAAGGAAATGTATATTTTTGTCCATTGAAAGTATAAAAGGCAGAGCTAAGGTTTCCCAGCATTGTCCTTCTCCGGTCTAATGCGAAGACGGCAATAACATCCTTCAAGTCAGCCGTCCGGTACAGGTTTTTTAACAAAACAAGCAAAGTGAAAATTACCATCTCCCTAAGTAACCAAACAAGGGCATATTTCATGGTAAATGGCCCGAAATGTCGGCTGTACCAACTCCATTGTTCTTGATTGGCCGGGAAGTCGGCTCCATGCTCTCTCATCACAAGTGACGAGAGAGCATGGATCCGTTTCCTGGCCAATCAGGAAACAGGGCATCGTGTAATGATGCGCTGCCCGGCTTCCTGATGCTAGGTATCGTTCTACAACTGGTAGCCTAAAGAAACTGGTGTGGATTGCACGATGCTTTAGCCCAAGGTCTCCATCAGAACTTTACAGCAACTAATAAATATAATTACGGTAGTTGTACTGAGATATCAGGTAAACTGCTTTAAAGGAAGCCTATGGTGTATTTTCTGTAAGTACACGGCTTGACCTATTATGGTAAAGTTGAAAACAGGAGAGAAAGGGAAGGGAGGAAGGAAGAAATAGAGAGAGAAGAGGAAAAAGAAGGAGAAGAGAGGAGATGACAGAAGGAAAGGGAAGGTAAACGAAGGAGAGGAAAGGAGGAGACAGATAGATAGATAGATAGATAGATAGATAGATAGATAGATAGATAGATAGATTCTTAAAGAGAAAGGAAAGAAGGAAGGAAGGAAGGGTGAGGTGTAAAGGATATCTTTTTTTTAATATATATATA